GAATTGAAATAAAGAGTGAAATTAATTATCAAGTTAGTAGCCACAATATGTAAGATGTGTTTCCCACTGAAAACACTATTTGATCAGGATTCAAGGCTGAGATCACACATGCTTTGAAAAGCATGGCATCTGGCTGTCTTAGCATCTAGCACATAGTCGGCACATAATGATTATTGGATTTGACTAAATTTACCAAATTTCCTTTAAAACCAATTAGACAGGACAGTATTGGTCTTTCATATTTTGAATTTTAAAATATGACATGTTAGAAAAATACAAGAAAATTAATCATATATTTTTAAAGAAAAACTTTTTCTGTGCTAAGGTAAGCTTTTAAAAAAGTACTTAATTTAAAATACTTACAGCTTTGCAGGAAATGTCTCCTGGCCTGGGACAGAATCTCACCAGAAGAGAAAGCCACGTGAAATGTGAGAACCACAAGTGTTTCTATTGCAATGTGTAGTACAAAGAATATTTTAGGCATTCTTATTGGCTAATGCAATCCAGGAAGAAGTTGTTTTTAAGTTGTGTTTCTGTTATTTTTCAAAAGAAAGGATTTCCTGCCAACAAGGTGGGTTCTGTTTTCGTCAACGTGTTAGACACACCCATATATATTTTTAGGGGGAAAATATTTCATTCGTTATGTGGTTTGATTGGTTTCATATGCCTGGCAGAGCTTACCATTTTTAAATTTACTTTCCTGCTTTAATATAATAAATAAATATTCTTTGGTATATGCTTATTGCCATCTTTTTATTGCGGGAGCTTGTAGATGGTTTGTGGGAGAGAGCAGGGTATCTGAAATTCCATACCTGATGAGACATTTTTCTTTTTCCTTCCTTGGACTCCTTTGTTTTTGTTTTCCCCCTAGTGTAATTGAGTGCTTACTACGTGTTAGACATTATTTCAAATGCTTTGCATATAACTAACTAATTGAATTCTCTGTACATTTTGTGTGGTAGGTGCAATTATTCCTCCCATTTGACTGACAAGAAAACTGAGGCACAGAAATGTTAAGTGGCTAGTAGGTGGCGAGTAGAAATTAGCTGAAACAGGACTGATGTATGAACTCCAGAGTCCACACTCTTAAACATGCCACATACACCCACACATTCGTTTTTTTTTTTTTTAATTTTTTTTATTGTACTTTAGAAGAAGGTTTATGGAACAAATAGTTTCTCATTAAACAGTCAGTACACATATTGTTTTATGATGTTGGTTAACAACTCCACGACATATCGACACTCTCCCTTCTCGACTTTGAGGAATTTTTTGGTGAAAACATACATAGCCAAAGTTACACTGTTTTGAAAGTTTCTACATGTACTATTCAGTGTCATCGATTACATTCTTTCAGTTGTGCTGCTATTCTCACTGTCCTTTTCCAAATTATTCCATCACCTTTATCTTCAATTCACTGTCCCCTAGGCTTGCCATCAAACCTTTTGAGTTGCTGTTGTCAATTTGATCTTGAATAAATAATTCTTTTTTTTTTTGTACCTTAGATGAAGGTCTGCAGAACAAATAGTTTCTCATTGAACAGTACACATATTGCCCTATGACAATGGTCAACAATCCCGTGACATGTCAACACTGTCCCTTCTCAACCTTGGGTTCCCTATTACCAGCTTTCCTGTCCCCTTCTGCCTTCTAGTCCTTGTCGCTGGACTGCTGTACCTCATCAGTCCCGTTATGTTTCATGGGGCTGTCCAATCCCCGGCTGAACGGTGAACTTCGGGAGGGGCTTCACCACTGAGCTAAAAGGTTGTCC